GAAACAGATCAGCAGTAAACAGATCAGCAGCAACAGGAAACAGATCAGTAGCAACATGAAACAGATCAGCAGTAAACAGATCAGCAGCAGCATGAAACAGATCAGCAGCAACATGAAACAGATCATCAGCAGCATGAAACAGATCAGCAGCAACAGGAAACAGATCAACAATAAACAGATCAGCAGCAACAGGAAACAGATCAGCAGCAACATGAAAAAGATCAGCAGCAACAGGAAACAGATCAGCAGCAACATGAAACAGATCAAAAGTAAACAGATCAGCAGCAACATGAAACAGATCAAAAGTAAACAGATCAGCAGCAACATGAAACAGATCAAAAGTAAACAGGAAACAGATCAGTAGCAACAGGAAACAGATCAGCAGCAACAGGAAACAGATCAGAAGCAACATGAAACAGATCAACAGTAAACAGATCAGCAGCAACAGGAAACAGAACAGCAGCAACATTATGTGTTTTTTTTTCACAGTGAGAATGAAGCAGATACAAAAACATTCATATATTTATGGTCTAAAGTGACGATTGTTACTGTTTATGATCTCCATCAATTGAAAATGACAATTCAATTCAATTCAAAAATACTTTATTAATCCCAGAGGGAAATTAAATGTTGTTGTAACTCATCATCCTGGTTTCAAGGAACAAGAAGTTCCTGAAAAAGTTGATAATTTAGTTTGTGCAGTAAAGTGAGTTGGTGCCCGTCAGACTGCAGCAGAATCCTTCACCTGTTCTGCTAAATTAAAGACAAATGTTTTTGTTTTCTCATCAAGAAAACAAGTGAGTGACGTAGGTGTCAGGATGGTTCCATGTGGAGCTGACAGGAGGAGGGAGTCGGAAAGATTACCATCATTAAATGGACACGCTTTCCTCAACAAGTCAAACAGGAGGACTGGAGGCAGAACTGTCCTCCAGCATTAGTTTCACTGATGACGTCCTACATTTCTCTGTAGCTTTCTGTCCATTAACTCCGTCTTCTGCAGGTACTGTTAGATCAGGGTTATCAAGTTAACAATCAATGACACAAAATGTGGTCTCGTGTCTGTAAGTTGTATGTTCCTGGACCTAAATGCAGTAACACGTTTCATTGTTGTAAAACTTCTCTGATTCTGCTTCTGTGTTTACGTCTGCTTGTCTCTCATAGAACTGTTCTGCTCTGGATGGAGAACCAAACCGTGCTGACACCTCTAGAACAGCCCATTGTTTTTGAACTCGAGGGTTTCAGTGTTCCTCCAGGATATGCTCCTTTCCTGTTCTTCCTGGCTCTGTTTGCATACATGGTGGTCTTACTGGGGAATGGGGTGGTGGTTTTAGTCATTTTCATGGACAAGAACCTGCACAGACCCATGTTTCTAATGATCTGTCACCTGATGGTCTGTGATCTGCTGGGGTCCACAGCGGTGCTCCCTTCACTCATGATGCACTTCTTGATGGGGCAGAGGAAGATCACGTACGCCCCGGCCATCACCCAGGGCTTCTACGTGCACACATACGGGGTTGCAGTGCAGACCATTCTGGCTGCAATGGCCTACGACAGGTGAGAAAGTGTTGGCTCAATAATCTTGTTGTTTTTACCACAAACGTTTTAGGACTTGCAAATAGTACACAGATGTGCAGATGTTCCTGACACAACTCCAGCCACTTGGTTATCCTGACCCATGGATGCGTTGCCTTGCTTGAAATGAGAACATACAATCAGTTGAACTGAACCTTTTTAGTTTCCCTCAGTGTTGTCTCTGCAGGTATGTTGCAGTGTGTGAACCTCTCAGGTATCACTCCATCATGACTTCGGCTCGGCTCCACTCGTACTGCGCTCTGGCCTGGATCTTGGCCCTGGTGCTCATCGCCGTGCTCTTTTCCTTCCACATGAACGTCCCGCTGTGCGGCCGAACCATCCAACATGTCTACTGCAGCAACAGAGGCATCTTGGACCTGGCGTGCATTCCCACCCCCATAAGCAACATCTACGGTTGGTACAGTTTAAAGGGTTTCTGTGTCTTCCACAAACAAAGAGCTGAAGACTGCGTGGAGCTAAAAGAGCAGGAACTCTTTCAGTTTCCATTTGCAGCTTTTAGTCAGACTTCTCTTTATGTTTTAAGAGTAACTAAACTATTTGAGTGTGTTTAGTTTTAAAATCCAGATGAGTTTGATAATATTTGACATTTCTTCTGTTTTATAAAAGGCAGCGGGACATTTTATTGTTTGTACATCTGTAACGTTTCTCACCGAAGGAGCTTTCTCTGTTGAAACTAGAAAGTGTGAAATTTATAAACCAGCTCGTTGTTTTGTGATTTTCCACGACAGTTGGTTTGAACAAAAAGTGAGTGAAGAAATCCACATTAAACAAAAAAACACCACCATCAAAGAGACGAGGTCTCACATTTCACATGTTCATGTGTTTTTATACACACATTGAAAGGTGGTGGTACTATGGCATCGTCTCTGTCCATCTGTGAACTTTCTCTTGTCCCATCCAAAGCAAGATGGTTCAAACTGAAGATTAGAACTTGGCTGTGTTTAGAGATAAAGTTCACTTGATGCATCAACGCCGGTCCTGGATGAAGGTCAGTGACAGACTAGTCTGCAGCTTCTTTTCTTTTTTCAGTGACCGTGGATTTGACATGAACCTTTGGACCTTTCCTCAGTTCTTCCCCACCTCTAACAGACGTGGTTTTAGTACAAGGCCAGGCTCGGCCCAGAACTAACGGCCTCACAGCAGCAGCTTTGTACACATACGTACGAGTCACTTCAGACCTGACTGCGTTGGATTCTGAGATAACACTGATTGGAGATCAGGATACTTTTATAAAGAACCTGAAAGGATCTAAAATGCATGAAGAAATTATATTAAACGTATGCATGCCTTTTTATGTTCTGTAGGTCTGGTTATGACCTGGTCTGTCAGTTCTGGGACCTTCATCCTCATCGCTTTCTCCTACATCAGAATCCTGAGTGTTTCTCTGAAACAAGGCCGAGCTGACAGCAGCATCCGCAGCAAGGCCTTTCAGACCTGTGCGCCTCACATCGTCGTGTACGTGCTCTACGAGGTTGCAATTTTTATTGTTGTTGTGAGCTACAGGTTCCCCTCACTTTCACAAAACATTAAGAAGTTCTTCAGCATCCTCTTCATCATCATCCCTCCAGCCATCAACCCCATCATCTACGGCCTGATCAGCAAAGACTTACGGAGCAGCATCATCAAGCAGGTTTCTGCACGGGTCTGTCTCAAAAACTGAAGCTCTTACAAACTAACCCTGAATAAATGAGCCTGGATCCTCGGGGAACTCTTTTCACTCCACACCTAAGAAGTTCTTGCGGGCCTGTCCTTCACGTTTTCTGTTTTTCTTACATCACGACAGATTTAAATGTGTGTTATTAGAAGTCTTCTGCAAACTCTGAAGAGAAACTTCAACCACTGAATCCCAGCTATTGGATGAGGGAAACATCTAAAACGTGCAGGATGTTGTTGATGTTTGAGGGCTAGCTTGAACACCAGAACCATTTTTCTTTACGTTTATCCAAAAAACATCTGCATCCCACATGTTCAAATGTGACTGTGTTTAGAAAACCAAAACATCCTCACACCTTCCCATCACTCTTTTCATGTGAGATTTTATTTAAACCTAAAAGTTTTTCAATATTAACTTCTTAAATTTTACACTTTTTTGTGCTTATTTTCTTTATAAAGTTCAATGTCTTATTATGCATCATCGTTTATTAAAAGTTTGCGAGATCTCAGCAAAATCTTTGTGTCTAATTTTAGTTCCATAGGACTGTCATTTGAAAATCAATTTTAGATTTTTATCCATCCATCATCCATCCATCATCCATCATGGATGGGTTAAATGCAGAGACTAATTTTGCCATTGTATGGAAACATGCAGTGCTGACATTGTGAAGACATTATTATTATTATCATCCATCTTTTTCTTGTTCTGGACTCAGGTCTCGGGGCAACGGTTTAATCAGAGAGTTCCCGACTTCTCTGTCCACATCCATCTCTTCCGACTCATCTGGGAGGACTTCAAGGTGTTCTCAAGGTGTCCTGGGTCTTTCCCGGGGTTTCCTACCAGTTGGACATGCCAGGAACATTGAACATGTCCAAACAGACATAGGGAGGCATCCATGTGGCATCCTTACCAGATGGCCAAACCACCACAACTGGCTTCTCCTCAATGTGGAGGAGCAGCAACTTTACTCTCAGTCTTTCCCAGATCTCACTCTATCTTTAAAGGAGAGTCCAGCTACGCTGCAGAGAAAACTCATTTTGACTGACTATATCCAAGATTTTATTTCTGTCACTACTACGTGTTTGTGAACATAGGTGTGGGTAGGAACCTAGATCGAGCAGAAAACATAGCACCTCGTCTTGCAGCTCAGCTCCCTCTTCACCACAACAGTCCAGTACAGAGTATGTAATGATAAGGAAGCCTCACCAATCTGAGTGTCAGTCTTGTGCTCAATTCTTCCTCTCACTCATTTACACATCTCTGAGATACTTAAACTCCTCCACATGAGGGCAGTACCTTGCTCTCAACCCAGTGAGTGCCTTCCACCCTTTTCTGACTGAAGACCATGGCTTTAGAGTTGGAGATGGTGATCTTCATCACAGCTGCTTCACACTCAGCGTGATCTTCACTGACTGCAGTCAGAAGTTGTGGATCCTCACAAACTGTGGTCTGTTCGTTAAGAAGTCTAGGACCCAGTTGCAAATGGAGGGGCTTAGGCCTAGTGTGAGTAGTTTGTCCATCAGGGTCTGGGAAATCATGGGACTGAAGGCAGATATGAAGTCCACAAAGAGTATACGGACGTAGGAGTCCTTCTGCTCCAGGTGGGTGAGAGCAGTGTGGACCACAGAGGAGATGGTGTCCTCTGTTGATTGGTTCTCGCGGGGTGCGTACTGGTGAGGGTCCTCGTTGATGTTGATGGATCAATTGTCCTTCTTCCTGGCAGGGCTTAATTTGTAAACTCAGTGATGCCGGAGCACAAATAGAAGGGAGGTCTGGGGGGTTTGGGTCATCTGTGGGTTTTCCCCCAGAAAATATGGAATAAAAGAGATGCCATTTCCTGCATTTTGGTGTATTTTAACGTGTTGTTAAACATCTTTGTTTACCTACTGTGAACATTTGATTAAACTGATTAAAAACAGGTCTCTTGTAGATGAGTCCTCAAGGCTCAATGAGACAAACAACCTGTATAAATAAAGGCTGAATTGAATTTACTGTTTTAGACATCAAGAAGAAAAGCCTGTGAATAGAACATCTCCGATTCTGTCAAATGTCCTACCCCACCCCCACCCCCCGGCAACTCAAATCTCCGCCCCTAAATGTCCAAAGTCATTGCGCATTTTTATTTTATTTCTTTAAAAAAAAAAATTTTTAAATTAATTATTTCTCAACAAATACAATGAGATGAGACATTGCCCTATCTGTGAAGTGTATGTTCCAGCTGCAGCTCGCGCACCATGCTCCTGCCCAGCAGAGCTGCAGACTCCATGTCCGGTGGAAAGAGTCTTCATCCACCTTCAGCTGTGTGTATATGTCTACGTGCAGGAGTTCCGACACATCAGCAGCTGTGCGCACTCTGGAGAGCTGTCTGAGATGCTCCTGTGCATAAAACATGCACTGTCTGCAGGGCGCACAGCTGAAATATGAAGACGCTCCCCGCTGGACATGCGGTCCACGTCTCTGCTGGGCAGGAGCATGTGCGCGAGCTGGTGCGCATAGTGTGTCTGGAACATCCACTCCACAGATTGGGCAACATCTCCTCTCATTGTATTTTCAATAAATAATCAAATAAAAAATGTGCAATTACTTTGGACTTTTAAGGGCGGAGATTTGCCAGATCCAACCAAATACAGTAGTTGCTGGAACACAGTTGGTCAGAATGAAGGAGTTCCTGGATCTTGTTCCGGCAGGATCCAGTTCAAATTTACCACTGCTTCCTGGGGATGTTGTCTGGGCCGGTTGCTTTGTGAGGGTTAATCCTCCTGAAAGTACTTCTTACTTCTGCTGTGGTCACGCTGAGAAGCTCTTCATCTGGTGGTGAGGTGAGTCTGGTGCTGGGTGGTCTGTTCTGGTCTTGAAAGCGCACATAGAACTTGTTGAGAGCATCAGGCTGTGATGGGTCTCTAGGGCATTATTCATTCCTGCATTTATAATCTGTTATACACTTAATGCTCCTCCACATGCTCCGTGAGTCTTGTGGGGTGAATTGACCCTCAATCCTCTGTGCATATGTGGCCTTGGCCCTCTTAATACCAGCAACCAGTTCTTTCCTTTTCCTTCTCAGCTCCTGTGAGTTTCCAGACCTGAAGATGGTGTTCCTGGCCTCCAGCAGGACGCGCACCTCTGCATTCAACTAAGGTTTTCTGTTCGAGTAACTTTTAACATATCTTATGGTGGTGACGTCATCAGTACATTTACTAATGTACCCCAGAACTGAGGATGTGTATTGTTCTGGGTCTAGCAGCCCCCCCCCCCCCCCCCCCCCCCACACACATTTTTAGCAGCTACTCTGAAGACCTCCCAGTCGGTTCGTTCAAAACAATCTCACAGTATGAGGCCACTGTTCTGGATCTAAGATTTAACTTTCTTTTGTACCGGTCTGGAGTGTCTCAGCGGGGGCAGGTAAGCAAGAGTTAGGAAGATTGAGATGTGATCAGAGAATCCTAGGTGGAACAGGGTTCAGCTTTGTATGCTTCTTTTATGTTTGTGTAAACACGGTCCAGTGTGTTGTTTCCATGTGTTGGTATGCCTACATGCTGGTAAAATCTTGGTAAGCAGGCTTTTAGATTCATGTGATTAAAGATTCCAGCCAATATGTAAAGAGCCTCAGGGTGTTTGTTCTCATCACATTCACCACTTGCTCTTGCCGAGGTCAGATGCATTTCCCCTCCCCACCCTCTCCGCTTTGCTTTGCTGCTCTGTCTGTCTGCGAAACTGCTTCTGAGCCTCTCTTGCATCTTCCGAACCATAATTATGGACTGTTTTGATCAGTTGGTCCCTCAACTCAATTTACAACATTTCTTTGAAGAGAAGACAGGCTTTAGGTGAGCTGATTTGCCCTGTTGGCACGCATGCAGCTGGACATCTCATCGACTTGAAGACTTGATGATGTGTCTATCTCTGCTGCCACTTGTGGATTTTAAGGACGCATATTTAATTGGCTTTACGATAACTGGTTCCTGCTTTTTGGATTTGGCTGGTTGCTGGTTTTTATCAATCGATCAAGGAAGTCGTCAGCAGCAAATTTGGACCTGATCACGTTGCTTGCCTTATGATGGCTTGGTTCGTGTCTCGAGTACCCAGACTCAAATGCTTTGGGCAGAATGGATCAGATCTCTGAGATTTCACTCAGGCACGTTCCATCGGTGTGGCCATGTAATTTGGACATTTCGGAACCGAGTGGACCAACACAGACTCAAGGTAGATGTCATTAAGTTCTGCCTGTCACCAAAACAACTGTGTTTATCTGAATTTGGCTCCCCTGACTGGCCTTCAAGGCCAACTTATCTGAATTCGCTTGGAGAACATGTGATCTGACGCCCCCCCCCCCCCCCCCAAAAAAACAAAACAAAAAAAAAAAAAAAACATTTCCAACTGATAATCAGATGTAACCAACTGAATAAACTTGTGTCATCATTTCAGGACTCTTGGATTCCCATTCCCATAGGCGTTATTCTTGGCCATTCCTCGACATACCTCGAGAATGTTTATGGGTCTCACCAGAGGATATTGACTGATTATTTAACATTCTTATCAGAACTCTTACAGTGACCTCAAGAGCATCTATGAACATGCTGACCGCTCTCGTCTCCCCTGTCTGCAAAATGTCTACGTAAATATGTGCTTGTTTGTGCGAGGTGTTTTTTTAATATCAGAGGTTTTTTTTCCTCAGGCAGGAAAAAAAAGTCTGATAGAATTTTTTTTCCGCCTCCAACTTCTACATGTGTCCACTTAAACACTGTTTTTGTCTGTCCAAACAGGTCTCACTTGTAAATGAGTCTTTGAGGCTCAATGTGATTTATCTGTTTAAATAAAGGTTGGATGAAAAAAAAATAACCTGGGACAAGCAGTGTGTCCATTCAGCCAGCTTCAGGACCCGTTTAATCACATCGTAAGAGATTTTTAAGACAAGACCTCTATTCCTTTTTGTTGGGAGACATTGCATCTCTCATCTGTTAATCTATGACAAAAGAAAAGTCCATGGGATTTTAGGACTTTGAGCATTGTTGAAGGGAGGTCCATCAGTCATAAAAATACATTAAAGGGACAGCAGGCGGTGTTGAACAAGTCAGAGCATCATCAGAGCTCTAACTGGAGAGGAGGCAGAACCATCACCTTCATCTGTAGGCTGTTCTGTTTTTGAGATATTCTGTCTCTGCATTCAGTGTTGTTACATCTGCAGATACAGCAGTCTGATCTATTATACAAATGTCAGTTATCTCTGAGTTAAACAGTTGTTTATTTAAGTGCATTACATTATATCTGGTTATCTGATACACAGTCTAACCTGTTTAGAGGGGCTAAATGAGTTTGTCTTTCACAGAAACGTTCTGCTTCAGATGGAGAACCAAACCATGCTGACTCTTCTAGAACAGCCCATTGTTTTTGAAATTGTTGGGTTTGATGTTCCTCCAGGATATGCTCCTTTCCTGTTCTTCCTGGCTCTGTTTGCATACATGGTGGTCCTAATGGGGAATGGGGTGGTGGTTTTAGTCATTGTGATGGACAAGAACCTGCACAGACCCATGTTTCTAATGATCTGTCATCTGATGGTCTGTGATCTGCTGGGGACCACAGCGGTGGTCCCTCGTCTCATGATGCACTTCCTAACAGGGCAGAAAAAGATCACCTATGGCCCAGCTATCGCCCAGGCCTACTGTATGCACACATACGGAGCTGGAGTACAGACCATTCTGAGTGCAATGGCCTACGACAGGTGAGAAAATGCAGGTGCACTTCTCAAAAACTACTCTGACTTTTCTTTGTGGTGCAAACTTGAAAATGTAAAAACCAAACTGTAGTGTAAGAAGTTGTTCTGTTTTCTCATGTTTCCAGAGATTGAAGTGTTTGTATTTAAAGAGGGTTCAATAATCATAATTCTTACCACAAGATGAAGATTTGTTTGTGCACAGATGTTCAGGTGTTCCTGGCACAACTCTAGCCACTTGGTTATCCTGATCCAGATGTTATGAATGCTTGTGTGAATATAAAATAAGTTGAACTGAACCTTTTTAGTTTCCCTCAGTGTTGTCTCTGCAGGTATGTTGCAGTGTGTGAACCTCTCAGGTATCACTCCATCATGACTTCGGCTCGGCTCCACTCGTGCTGCACGCTGGCCTGGATCTTGGCCCTGGTGCTCATCGCCGTGCTCTTTTCCTTCCACATGAACGTCCCGCTGTGCGGCCGAACCATCCAACATGTCTACTGCAGCAACAGAGGCATCTTGGACCTGGCGTGCATTCCCACCCCCATAAGCAACATCTACGGTTGGTACAGTTTAAAGGGTTTCTGTGTCTTCCACAAACAAAGAGCTGAAGACTGCGTGGAGCTAAAAGAGCAGGAACTCTTTCAGTTTCCATTTGCAGCTTTTAGTCAGACTTCTCTTTATGTTTTAAGAGTAATTAAACTATTTGAATTGATTCAGATTTAAAGTCCAGTTGAGTTTTCATAACAAGTCATGTCTGACATTTCTTTTAGGAGTTTTATAAAAAAGCCACAGGATATTTTATTGTTTGTGCATCGGCTACATTGCTCATTGAAGGAGCTTTCTAAATTTTATAAACTCTGGTAAATGTCTTAATTTTGCATCTTTGTTCTTCAACATCCAGTAGGTGGTTTTAGAGAAAAGAGAAGACAGAAATCTGTGTTAGGCATAAAACACCATCAAACAGAAGGTTTTAGCTGTTTCTGTTTTTCTCTCATAGTTTCAGAGAAAGCTGAGATTCATGTTCCAGCATTGCTTTAAAATATTGATTAAATTGATCAGTAATGACTGATAAATTAAAGATAAAATATGCCATTGTTTAATTCATGTCTTTTAATATAAACCAATGTTGCACCAGCCATTATATTAAACTTATGCATGCCTTTTTATGTTCTGTAGGTCTGGTTATGACCTGGTCTGTCAGTTCTGGGACCTTCATCCTCATCGCTTTCTCCTACATCAGAATCCTGAGTGTTTCTCTGAAACAAGGCCGAGCTGACAGCAGCGTCCGCAGCAAGGCCTTTCAGACCTGTGCGCCTCACATCGTCGTGTACGTGCTCTACGAGGTTGCATCATTAATTCTTGTTGTGAGCTACAGGTTCCCCTCACTTTCCCAAAACATTAAGAAGTTCTTCAGCATCCTCTTCATCATCATCCCTCCAGCTATCAACCCCATCATCTACGGCCTGATCAGCAAAGACTTACGGAGCAGCATCATCAAGCAGGTTTCTGCACGGGTCTGTCTCAAAAACTGAAGCTCTTACAAACAAACCCTGAATAAATGAGCCTGGATCCCTGGTGAACTCTTCTTGCTCAGTCTGAGTAGGATCCAGATTTCACACCTATAAACTGTTGGTCTGGAGATTTCTCGGGTTCAGACCTGATGATTTTTGCAACAATTGTTCCCCCAAAACACATCATCCACTAAATCTAATCTGTCTAACTCTGAATGTTAGGAAACACCATGTATCTGTGACTTTCCTTCCCTCCATTGATCACGGTGACATTATTTACATGAACGCTCCTACAAGAACCCTGCAGATGTTGGATGCTGCAGATGTTGGATGCTGCAGATGTTGGATGCTGTCTATCATGGTGCACTAAGATTCATAACTGGCTGTAACTACCGTACCCACCACTGCACCCAGTATTCACTGGTTAACTGGTCACCATTAACTTCACACAGACTCTCTCACTGGTACATTTTCATCTTTAAATCACTTCTTGGTCTGCTGCCTTCATACATCTCCTCCTACATGTCTCTGTGTGAGTGCAGCTACAGCGTGCGCTCTCAGGACATCATTACCTTTAGCTATGTAACTATCTTGGTAAGCCTCATCCATCCATCCATCCATCCATCCATTTTCTCCCGCTTATCTGGGGTCGGGTTGATGGTGTAGCAGCTTAAGTATGGAGGCCCAGACTTCCCTCTCCCCAGCCACTTGGGCCAGCTCCTCCAGGGGAATCCTGAGGCGTTCTCAGGCCAGCTGAGAAACATAGTCCCTCCAGCATGTCCTGGGTCTTCCTTCGGGTCTCCTCTTGGTGGGACGTGTCCAGAACATCTCACCAGGGAGGTGTCCAGGAGGCATCCTAACCAGATGCCTGAGCCACCTCAACTGGCTCCTCTCGACATGGAGAAGCAGTGGCTTTACTCTGGGTCCCTCCTGGATGATCGAGCTTCTCACCCTATCGCTAAGGGAGAGCCCAGACACCCTGCAGAGAAAACTCATTTTTTTCATTCAACCTTTATTTAGACCGGTAAATCCCATTGAGTCTCCAGGACTCATTTATAAGAGAGACCTGATTTCAACAAAGAATGATGGCAACAATGGATGACAGCGACAACAATAAACAGTTATAAAAAGTCAAATTTTTTAACAAATAGGATGGCTAAAAAGAAAAAAGTAAAAAGAAAAGAAAAGTAACAAAAAAAACATCTCGATTCTAAGGCGAATGTAGAAAACTAAAAACAGGAACATGTCTGCATTGGTCCCTGCCAGGAGTCCAACAGATTCTTAAAGCCACTTAGCGAGTTCAAGGTCGAGAGCTTCAGATCTTTTTACAAGATATTCCAGGAAACAGGAGCAAAGGAGGAGAAGGCCCTTTTGCCTAGGTCAGTTCGCACTGAGGGAACAGTGCAGGTAATAATGTCCTGAGAGCGCACACTGTAGCTGCACTCACACAGATTTTGGCCACTTGTATCCGTGATATTGTTCTTTTGGTCACAACCCAAATGCTCATGACCATAGATAAATTAGGGTAGGAATGTAGATTGACTGGTAAATTGAGAGCTTCGCCTTTTGACTCAGCTCTCTCTTCACCACAACAGACTGGTACAGTGCCTGCTTCACTACAGATGCCGCACCTATCTGCCTATTGCTCTCCCGCTACATTTTTCCCTCATTCATGAACAAGACCCCAAGATACTTTAACTCCTCTTCTTGAGGCAGGACCTCCTCCCTGACCCAGATGGGGCACTCTGCCCTTTTCCGGCTCAAGACCATGGCTTCAGATTTGGAGGAACTGATCCTCATCCCGGCCGCGTCACATTCGGCTGCAAACCGCTTCAGCAAAAGCTGTAGATCCCGACCTGATGAAGCCAATAGGACCACATCATTTGCAAGAAGCAGAGACGCGATCCTAAGGCCAACAAAATGGATCCCCTCAACACCTTGGCTGCTCCTGGAAATTCTGTCCATAAAAGTTATGAACATAATTGGTGACAAAGGGCAACCTTGGCGGAGTCTAACTCTCACTGGGAACAAGCCCGACTTACTGCCAGCAATGAGGACCAAGCTTTGACACCGGTCGTACAGGGGCCTAACAGCCCATATCAAAGGGACTGGGATCCCAGAGTAGCCCCCACAGGGTTCCCTGAGGGATGCAGTTCAACGCCTTCTCCAAGTCCACAAAGCACATGTAGACTGGTTGGCCAAACTTCCACGCACCCTCCAGGACCCTGCTGAGGGTGTAAAGCTGGTCCAGTGTTCCATGACCAGGATGAAAACCGCACTGCTCCTCCTGATTCTGAGGTTCGGCTATCTGGCAGACCTTCCTCTCCAGAACTCACGAATAGACCTTACCAGGGAGGCTTAAGAGCGTGATCCCCCTGTAGTTGGAACACACTCTACTTTCCCCCTTTTTGAATAGGGGGACCACCACCCTGGTCTGCCAATCCATGGCAACTGCCCTCAATGTCAACTCAATATTGCAGAGTTGTGTAAGCCAACACAACCCCACAACATTCAGAGCCTTAAGGAACTCAGACACCTCAACACCAGAGATTGGAGAGCTCGACCCAAAGTTCCCAGGGTCTGCTTCCTCAGTGGAAGACGTGCTGGTAGGATTGAGGAGGTCTTTGAAGTACTCTGCCCACCGACCCACGATATCCCGAGTTGAGGTCAGCAGCACACCACCTCCATTATAAACAGTGTTGGTGGTGTACCCCCCCCCCCCCCCCCCCGAGATGCCGGATGGTGGACCGGACCAAAATCACCTCGAAGCCATCTGGAAGTCATTCTCCATGGCCTCTCCGAACTCTTCCCACGCCGACAAATTTTTGCCTCAGCGCCTACCTGAGCTGCATGCCGCTTGGACTGCCGGTACCCATCATCTGCTTCTGGGTCCCACAGACAATAAAAGCCTGATAGGACTCCTTCTTCAGCTTGACATTAAGCCAATCAGGAAGTATTTTTTTAATGTTATTAACAGCATAAAACTGAACAACAGAACAATATACAGTAAACGCACAATGGAGATACAGTTAAAAGGATAGCCTGTTAACTGTATCTCCGTTATGTGTGTACTGTATATTTTCAGTTCATTTTTTCATTTACTCTTTAGTTATACAGGTAGTCTCCTTGAGTCATGAGAACTCATTTTCAAGAGAGACCTGTTTAGGGAGCAGATACCATACCATACCATACCATACCATACCAATTTATTTATAAAGCACTTTAAACAGTGACAAAGCACACCAAAGTGCTGTACAGGGACAAACAGAACAAGCACATAGCAACATATTACATAACAGGACACCAAAAAGTAGAAACCAACAAAAACAATAATGGATAACAACAACAACCGCAACATGACCAACACAGTGTGATGCACACAGACTCAGCACAGATCACACAGTGCAGAAAGCCAGGGAATAGAAGTGTGTTTTTAAGCGAGATTTAAAAACTGTGAGGGAGGGGGCCTGTCTAACGAGCAGAGGTAACTCATTCCAAAGTCTTGGGCCTGCTACAGAGAAGGCCCTGTCACCTCTGCGCTTGAGACGGGTTCCTGGGACTGTTAGGAGCAACTGGTCTGCTGATCTGAGAGAACGTGGTGGGACATACGGCTGGAGCAGAACAGTAAGATAGGAGGGGGCAGAGCTGTTTTGTGATTTATAGACATACAAGAGTATTTTGAATTTGATTCGAAGGTGAACCGGAAGCCAGTGTAGGGAGGCCAAAACAGGTGTAATGTGCTCCCTTTTGCTTGTGCTGGTCAAAAACCGGGCTGCTGCATTTTGGACCAGTTGGAGTCTAGCTATGGAGGTCTGACTGATACCAAAAAGGAGTGAGTTGCAATAGTCAAGCCTGGATGTAATGAATGCATGAATTACTGTCTCCAGGTTATTTTTGGGCAAAAAGGGGCTTCAGCTTAGACAGTCGCCTCAGCTGGAAAAAGCAGGATTTAACAATCATATTTACATGATTGTTGAGTTTCAGAGAAGGGTCAAGTATCACTCCTAGATTAGTGACTCTTTGTTTCACTAACAGTGACAGAACGGATAGGTCGATGCAGTGGTTGGTGATAGTGTCATTGGGAGGAAACAGCATAACTTCAGATTTCTTCTCGTTGAAACTCAAGAAATTTAAAGCCATCCAATCTCTGATGTCAGCCAGGCAGTCCAGTAACGGTTGAATAGAGCGAGTACCGTTGAGTCTGAGGGGGAAGTAGATTTGGCAGTCGTCTGCGTAGAAATGAAAAGGTATGTTATGTTTCCTGAAAATAGCACCTAGTGGCAGCAGGTATAAAGAAAATAAGAGAGGACCAAGGATGGACCCTTGCGGTACCCCCCATTTAAGCGCTGCCGAGGCTGAACTAAAATCTTTGATGGAGACACAAAAGGACCTGTCAGCGAGGTAAGATCTAAACCATTCGAGGGCTGACCCAGTGATGCCCACCCACTGCTCTAACCTCGCAATGAGGATCTCGTGGTCATTTGTATCAAAGGCAGATGTGAGGTCCAGTAAGAGAAGGAGCACAGAATCACCAGCGTCTGTGAATAGGAGAATGTCGTTAAAAACCTTGAGTAGAGCAGTTTCAGTGCTGTGGAGAGGTTTAAAGCCAGACTGGAATAGCTCTAAGATGGCATTATCCTCTAGAAAGCATTTCAGCTGGGACTCCATTATTTTTTCCAGCAGTTTAGCGACAAATGGGAGTCTGGAGACAGGCTGGAAGTTAGACCGGATGGTGGGGGTTAAGGGCTGTTCTGTTGTTCGGTTTTATGCTGTTAATAAAGTAATAAAAATAAAAAACTTCCTGTTTGGCTTAATGTAATTCCGTTTTATTCTAATGTAATTCCGTTTTTTCTAATGTGATTCGGGCCACTTCCGCTTCAGCCACTTCATCTTTGGCTTAATGTAATTTTGTTGTTTTTTTCAAATGTAATTCCATTTTTTCAAATGTTGTTCATTTACGCCTTAGGGCCATAAGGTTCAGCAACAGTATGTGCTCAAAGAATGAGGTCAGCTGACTACCTGGATATACTGAATGGCCAGGTTATTCCATCAATGGCTATTTTTCTTCCCTGATGGCACGGGCATATTCCAAGATGACAATGCCAGAATTTATCGGGCTCAAATTGTGAAAGAGTGGTTCTGGGAGCATAAGACATCATTTTCACACATGGATTGGCCACCACAGAGTCCAGACCTTAACCCCATGAGTATCTTTGGGATGTGTTGGAGAAGGCTTTGCGCAGTGGTCAGAATCTGCCATCATCAATGCAAGATCTTGGTGGAAAATTAAGACAACACTCGATGGAAATAGATCTTGTGGCATTGTAGAAGCTTATCGAAACAATGCCACAGCGAATCTAAAGGCAGTCCAACAAAATATTAGTGTGTGACCTAAAAAAGTTCAATCTGGTCCTCTGGACATTCAAAAAACAAAACAAAGCAAAACAAAACAAAAAAAATGTGGAAACGTTGTAGAGGGTGTGTCCAGTTTTGCTGCTGACAACCAAAACCAGCTGCTCACATGCTCAAGAAGGACCATCAGCCTAACAATGGATCATTAGCACCTGATGGCTGTTTACTATTCACAGGGGGTTGAGTGATACTAGCAATCACAGCATTGTAAGAGGGGGACAGTTGAACACGGAGGCTCCGCCCCGTTTAATGATGGATGGTTTCTTTTCACAAAGATGGCCTCCTTTACTCCTCTCTCAAACCAGCACCAGGAGCCAGGCTGAAGGAGAAATCCCACACAAGACAGGCTCTAGAGCAATGTGGATATCCTAACTGGGCCTTCCTGAAAGCAGAGAAGAAACCCAAACAGGACTCCAGTCAGCCAACAGGTGAAAAGGAGGAACCCAGACCCAGACCAGTGGTCATTCCATATGTTGAGGGAGTATCAGAGAAACTGAGACGTTTATTTTCAGTTTCAACTCCGCCCCCGGGTTCAACTGTCCCCCTCTTACAATGCTGTGATTGCTAGTATCACTCAGCCCTCTGTGAACAGTAAACAGCCATCAG